TTGATTTGGCTAGGGGTAAAGTCAAAGTGTCAACACTCGGAATGACAGTTGTACGGAATTGCTAAAGCGGCAGTTGTTGGGAAAATTCAGATAAATCCTGGCAGAAAAGGGTTGCTTGTATGCCTTTGTGTTATGAAATGCCTGCACCCCTTTCACAGAAAGCACTCAATTCCCAAACCAGGTCACTGTTTAGTGCTGCTGTTACTGTAAAAGAAGGAATTCTTAACTGGTCTGTGCAATGGTGTTCTCAGCCCCTCTTGATGGGATTGAGCCAATTCCAAGTTTAAACTCAGTTAGCTGCAGCCACCCCATGTAACTTGGCTCTTGGGCTACTGCCTTTTGGAGCCCTAGTATATAACATAATTTAACTAGCAGAGTCAGGAAGTAATAAGAACTTCCTTAGAAATGTGTAGCCCTGTAGATCCCTATCTATGGGGGCCTCCAGTGGTGGCCATACAGGTCTCCCCTCTATGTCTCCTTCAAAACATTGAAACATAGAAACTGAGTGAGTCAGAAGGGGCTTCCTGGGCCATCTAGTCTGATCCCTGGCTCCAGCCAGCTTCACTCATGACATGCCTACTATGCGCATGTCCAGCCTATCCTTGAACACCCACACCGATGGGCCCTCAACCACTTCACATGGAAGCCCATGCCATACCCAAATGGTAACCATTTTTTCAATAAAAATGTAAAATGTAAGGGCACCAGGCACTTCTTCCTGTTCAGAACACAAGCCTGTTTGCTGTGCAGGTGATGTAGCAACATTGCTTTCTTGCATCACCCAAACTTCATCCAGCACAGACTTTTCCTCTTTTCCATCTTGCTCCCCGTCCCCAATCCCTAGTCACACAATTCTCTCTTCTCAACCTCCCAAGGAATCTTTCCCTTCCCATCTTCTAGCCTTACTGTTTCTCTCCCCACCTTTTCAGCTCACTTTGGATAAGCCAGGCTTCTTGGCGGTGGCTCACTCAGGTGGTTTCCCCGTTTGTGCTGCAGTCTCTGCAGCAGTTTCACCAATTCCCAAAAGTTTCTCTCAGTTCAAAAAGATTGGTTACCTCTGTGCTAAACTCGGGGGGTGGGAGGGCATGCCAGCAGCTATGTACTCCAAAGGTGTCCATGAAAAATCAAGAGGAAATATTATGGTTTTGGGAAACCCAAGATTTGAATAAGTACAAAAATGATGAGCAGCAAATTATAAGTGGGCCACCCTGCCTGAAAAACAGTCTAATGTGGTCTGAGGATGCTGAGAAACCAGATAATCTTGGGGTTTGGTTGGAAAAGGAAAACATAAATATGGAGGAGGTGGAATGTAATGGAGTATCCTGGGAGAGGACTGGTAAAATGCCTATTAGGTGTCCCTCTTGTGTTTCCTGCACCTGAATGATCTTTCCTAACTCATTGGAAGAATAAAATGCTGAACTTTCAAATAAAACAGCAGAAGAATTTTATTTAGTTCGCACATGTTGCTCCATTGACTTCAGTGTTAGGAAGAGATACATACACATGTTTGTTTATTTATTTGGGTATTTTTATCCCGTCCAATTACATTGTGCATCTCCAAACGGCTTACAAACCGACATGTGTAGAACAGGAAGAGCACAGAAGTCTAGACTGCGTATTGCAAGAATGGACAACCGGCTGTACTGGCCCCCGATGGCCATTTTCCCATCACCCCACATGTTCTCTTGCTTCCCTTGTCACTGCAACTGCTGGATTTGCTCTCTGCGCAGTTTATTAAAAAAATTAAAGGAAGGCCTTTGCCTGGCACTGAAAAGAGTATAAGGAAGGTGCCAGGCGACTCTCCTTGGGGAGAGCGCTCCAGATATGGGGAGCAGCTGCAGAAGAGGCCCTGCTCCTACTGGCAGCGATCCCTCTAGTCTCCCTAAGGGATGGTTCACACAGGAGGGCCCCCTGCACAGATTTCAGAGACTGAGTGGGCACATACGGCTGCAGGAGCTCCTTCAGATAAGCGGGGCCTAAGCCATTTAGGGCTTTATATGTCAGCACAAGCACCCTGAACTGGGCCTGGGCCACAATTGGTACCCAGTGCAGTTCCTTCAATATAGGTGTTATATGGGCCATTCTAGGGATTCCCATCACTAACCAAGTGGCCCTGTTCTGTACCAAGTGTAATTGTTGGAACCTCTTCAAGGGCAGCCCCATGTAGAGCGGGTTGACTGTGTTGCAGTAATCTATTTTGGATATTACCAGTGCACGGTTGACTGTTTTTAGGCTCTGTCTGTCCAGACAGGGGTGAAGCTGGCATATCCGCTGCACCTGGAGGAAAGCGCCCCTGGGCACTGAGCTCACCTGATATTCCAGGGACAAACCAGGGTCCAGGTGCAGCCCCAGACTGCGGACCCTGTCCCTTAGGGGGAGTGCAACCCCATCAAGGACAGGGCAATGCCCCTCCAACCTGTCAGATGACCCCCTACCAGCAGCACCTCTGTCTTGTCAAGATGGAGCCTCAGTTTATTGACTCTCATCCAGTCCATTATCAAGCTCAGGCCCCAGTTATGCCGTTGCCCATGGAACAGAAAGCAGGCAAGTGGGGCTAGCCCAACAATGAACAGTGCCCATGAATGTCCAACTTTCCTTTAAATAAACATTTCTCGTGCATGTAGTGTTTGCAGTCTCCGTAGTGCTTGTAGTGGTTTGTCAGGTTGCCTCAAAGTAAAGCCACACACTGCTTACTTAATCTAGTGCCAATGACATCAAACCAGGCACTGAAAACGAAGGGAACTTTAAAGCAGCCCTGCCCTGAGCCTCTCCAGATGTTTTAACTCCACTCCTGTGACCACTGGCTGTCTGGATGGGGCCGATGGGAAGGAATGTTCAAAACAACTGGAAATACTGGGTGATAGAAGACTGCCGGAGAGCTACTTGATGGAAGTTTACTTTCGTAATTAGTTGCCAAATTGTAGAACTCTGAAAAAGGAGAAAGAGAAAGAGAGAAGGAGGGAGAGAGCCTGATTTCTTTCAACCTATTTCACTGAGGCCAATATACTCAACAAACACGAAATCACTTATTTCAGCTTGGCATCCCCTTCTGCTTAGCACCCAGGGTGATCTTCTGAGTCACCCACCCCTCAAGCCAGGCATAATCATTTCAAAACAAGATACGGCAGCATAGCTCAGAGAAGGGATCTTTGCTGGTCTGTTCCCATCCAAAAACGAGCCTCTTCCCCCTCTTTCTGGGATGCCAAAGCCCCATTGCATGAGGGCTGCAAGTGCAACAGAACCAGCAGAGGTGGAGTAACCCCAATGAACACCACTCAAAGAGCTTAAAATAATAAAAACACTTGGTCACTCCGTCTGTTACAGAAGTGCCAGCTATGGGAAAGTCAGAAGCTGTCAAAAAATAAGTATGCTTCACCAAACGGGGCTCTGGTTAAAGGATGCATCTTGTTCATGGCATTGTTATGCTACTCTACATATTTATTTATTTTGATATTTCAGTATGTGTAGCTAGTGGGTCTGTATATACTTCTCTATGCCCATGTATTCTTTTAAATATTTCCATCAAGCTATTCATTAAATCTAGCACCAAACTCAAGGTGATTTTGGGATGGTTAGAGTACCAGTATGTATCTGCTGTGTTGTGGAAAAGGCCTGTTTCTAATCCTTTATTCCTTTGGAACCCACAAAGAAGTTACTGTACAAATAGGTCTGGCAACTTCTTATTAAACAAAGGAATAATAATAGCTTAGTTCATTTGTTCATTCATTCAATTTCTATACCATCCAATAGTCAAAGCTGTCAGGATAGTTTGCAAAAATTAAAATACTAATGTACAACTGTACTATACACACAAAATTAAAGCAGTTCAAAACATGAAAAAAATTAATAATAAAAAGCATGAACTGATAAAACAACTAATATAAAAAGCCCCATCATATGTCTGAGAATGTCAAAATATCTGAGAATACAGTGAAGTCTTAACCTGGTGCTGACAAAAGATAATAGTGGCAATGAGGCAGAGCTCCCTTGGGCGAGTCTTCTTCAGCTGGCAATCCACCACAAGGCCTTCTCCCTTGTTGCCTCCTCCAAGTCACACTTGGTTTTCTCCCTTGTTGCCTCCTCCAAATCTAACTTGGGGGAGAGCCTCAGATGTCAGCACAGCACCTTAAAGTATTCAAAGCATTTCAGATCCATTCTCTCAGTGCTCCTTAGAACTACTCTGTAAGGTAGAGCAGTTGTCTCCTTATTACAAACAGTGCGGCAGGCAAGGCTGAGTCTGAGAGGAGTGTGGA